TGTACATTAAAACACACGTCACTCTTCGGTCGCGTCCTGGTTCTCAACAATGTCGTCTTCGCATCGCTTTGGTACAAATCCTTACTGTGGCCATTAACCAAAGCAGCTCTAAGGAGGCTTAGAAAAAAGGCAGCGACTTTCCTATGGAGGGGGGACGGAGAGCAGGTGAATGTAATAAGCCGCGTGGCCTGGGACTCAATTATCCAGCCGAAGGCAGGGGGTGGCCTGGGAATACTAGATCCGGTTACACAAGTGCAGGCATTACATATTCAGTGGATAAAGAAGCTGATCTTTGCCCCCCAAAGCCCGTGGTGTGTCCTGGCTTTGAATCATCTGGCCCGGCTGGCCCCGACAGCCACTCACACGGTCCACCCGTTAACCTGGTTGGAGGACCACTTTTGGACAATCCCGCGCAAACTCCCACATGGCAGGGAGGGGTCAGAAGGAGGGGGACAGATGCTGGAGAAGTTTTGGCCATCTTTACTGAAAACTTGGCGCAAACTCCCGCTACCCGACCAGACCCACCCCAACCGATGGGAGGAAGTCTATCGTCAACCTCTCTTCGGCAACAGACGGGTGACCGATACGAGTGGTTGCGTTATGACAAGCTCATCCCCACCCTGGAAGAACTGGGTTAAGCAAGGAGTGCTTAGGGTTGGGGATCTCTGGGATAGTGAGAGGCAAGATTGGAAAACGGGGGACCAATTGCAAGCATCCTTGAAGTACTGCCATCATATAGAAGGGCTACTGGAAGACCTCATTGAGGCTATCCCACTGGAATGGTACCGGATCCTCAAACGTGACCCTATTTTGAAAGAAGGGGATTGGGTAGCAGATATAGGGACCCCTCTGAGGATTGGCCTGATTCATATGGTTTTACCCCAAATAGTGTTGATTGAATACTATGCCATCACCATAACAGGCACCCTCCAAGGAGATAAAGCACCCTTCGAATGGAGAGATAAAGCATCAGTGCGCAGAGTGAGAGTGCTAGAAGAGAAGGGACAAAGGGTGGCATTTCAGCCTGACAAATCAATCGAGGCCTTGGCCCTGGACCCGGTAGAATGGATTTGGCAGCCCCCCCAAAAGAAGGGCGCCATTAGGATGAAACACATCAGTTTGCACCAGCTAACGGTTAAAACTTCCTACAAAATGCTCCGGCCTAAACGGTATCTGCGGGACACGATTATTGATAGATCGGCCAAACACCTGAATGTGGACCGCGCCCTCCTCTCCCCAATCCGCTGGTTCAAAGAACAAAAGAGCAAGCCCATGAAAATCACCTCCATGCAATGGCAGATAGCTCATCGCCGCCTGCCTACGAATGACTGGCTAATTGACCGCACAAACCTTGAACAAAGGGGCCTGTTACTTCCATGGTGCCAGCGGTGTCAAAGTCTCTTCCCATTCCACAAGAAGGCGGAAACCATCGAACATGTGTTCATGCAATGCCCGATTGCTCAATTCACATGGCGATGGTGGGACCGTATATGGCGAAAGCTGGAACTAGACATTCCCTGGCCCTGGACATGGCAAGCCATTCTGACTGGGCATTGGCCGTTGGAAGGAACAGCCACGGCATTCGTAAGGAATATGTTTAGACTTGGAAGGAGGGCGGTGGTATGGGCATTGTGGTGGCAGTGATGTACCTTGGCTATGGAAAAGGTACGGGTGGAGGGGCCAGAGATCACTGATCAAATTCAGCAACAGATACACCTTGAACTCACACACAAATGGTTGGACACCAAGGCACAATTGAACCAGTTCAGACRGATTGAAGACGCCAGGAGACGAATTRYGGCTTTCTGCACAGACTGGGTTGGGGGAGAAARGGAAGGAYGGATCGCAAAAGTGGAATGGAGTGGAGACAGAGGAGGAGGTCTGCAGGAMCTGGAAGAGATGAGAGACTATCGTTTAGTCTTTAAGGACTGGACTAACATAGAACCCTCATTCCCATTACGCCCTTCCTCGGATTTCCCGGACCCCTTCCCACCCCATGCCCTGTCCCTGGTAGAAACCCTGTCCTGAACCCTGGCCTAAGTGTGAAATCTGATGACATCCGTCCCTTACCAAACCTGTGTCTGCACACGGTCCTCCTCCCCGGTGGCCCCCGGGGAGGACTCCGCCAGTACTACATATGACAGCAGGCAGTTTTTGGAGGGAATGGGCAGCAAACAGTATCAGCTCCCACAAGTTAATCTGGCGCCCTTTTCAGAAGGTGAAGAGATACAGTCAGCAAGGACAAGAGATACAGTTGGTGATTGCAGGGCAGGCCATCTCTCATCTGTGGACCATTAGGCTTTCAGGGGGAAACTAGTCCTTCAGCAGCAGGAATCTGGCGTCCGACATAGGGTGAAGAGGTTTACCCCCAGCAGTTCAACATCCTGTACAGACGATTTTCGGAAGACAGCTTTCATCTTATAAAAAAAAAAAAGAGACCCCATTCCCGCATACTGTAGCAGTCTAGGGCTAGGTTACTAGACAAGGGGTGGGGCTGGACATCCCACCATGGTAAAGCCTGAGCAAGCTGTGTCTCCATTATTACTCATTATTACTCACTCAAGGATCAGGGATGGGTCTTGCGCTGGTTCTGAGAGGGTATTGGTTCAAAGGGTTAAATAGACAGACATACAATATCCAAACAAGGGGGCTGCTGAGACAGGGCTGGGTTATTAGATATGGGGTGCTCCTAAGAAGGGATGGGTGACACTAGCAGCCCCATGGGACATCGGAGCCCCAAGCTGAGTTTGTTTGGCCGCAGCCCCGGGGAACAACAAACAGCAATCTTTGTAATGTAAGATGTATCAAAGGGACGCTGGACCCGGTTTCCAGCAGGTGCTGCTCCCCACCAATAGATGGAGCCTCCCCGACGGTGCCAGATGTGTCTGCTCTTATCAGCACACCTAGCATCTGATCGGGTTGTTAACAAAACACACACACAAAAAAAAAAGAAGAAGTCCGTACATTATCAGCCACAGGACCTCCTCCATACAAGCACGGATTCAAACCGATGCCCTCAGCCTCAAGAGCCGAGTTTCTTATCCACTACAGCCATGACACAGCGCACAAAAGTGGATCCATGCCGGTCATGATATCCATCCCACCCCTGCATGGCTGTAGTGTCCTTCAACTCACACACACCCACACACAACACCACACAAGGCATCCGCCACACAGGCAGTAGTCGCACACTCCGCTCTCATCCAGCACAACTGCTTATCCAACGTAGGCCAGTTGGTACCCGTGGATCTGGCCTCTTGGGAGTCATCAGACTCTTATTCCCAGCAGAGGGCTACCGTCTTCTTCCCCCCCCCGCAACAGAACGTACGGTACAGGCATTATGCCTGTGTTGGGTGAACTTTCTGGCTACATACAGCGATAATGACCATACGTTCTAGTTGGGAGAAGCCGGTAGTGATACACTCCAGGAACGTGGGGGTGTCATCAAGCCCCACATGAAGCTTATGGGCAGGGCTGCACACACATGCCATAATTATCATGGCAAAAAAAAAAAAAAAAAAAAAGGAAGGAAGGAAGGATGTAAGGCGGGGAGAGAGAACCTTTCAGCAGTGCCGCAGTTTGGATGAACTGTCGGGGTCACTGATCAGAAATTTGAGGGGGTTAGCTGATCAGAGATATTGTGGAATCCGAATTACGGAGTTTACTGCTGGGGTCAGCTAACCCCTGAATGAATGAGTGATGGGGGAATTTATAGTTCCTTCTTTAAATAATATTTTATTATTTTTTAATTTTTACCAATTCCCTATGGAGTCTAATTTTTCTTAGTCTCTCGAGATTCACATGGGGCTCCTATCGAGATGCATTTAAAAAAAAAGATAGATGGTATCTTTTTTTAATTTTTTTGTTCTTTCTTTTTTCTTTCTTTCTTTCATTTGTTTTTTCTTTTTTTTATTTTATTTTAAGAACTATGGTATTAGAAAAGTTACGATTATCCAGCGGCCTAGCTCAGTTGGTTAAGGCACGCAAGTGGCATTCAGGAGGTCCTGGGTTCAATCCCCATTGGCCTCATGTACCTTCCTGGGCAAGCTTGGTCCCCCCGAGTGGCATTGAGCAGAGACTGCTGATGTTCATAGGGGGAGGGGACCGGAGGGGAGGCACAATGACTGGCCCATCGAAGAAGCTCGGTCCTGATGCTACCGGCTGACCCCTGGCCGGTATCGCCCACCTGCTGTAGCAGGTATCGCACCTGCTGGTGGGTGCAGCTCCCGCATGTTCCCTCGTTGGAGGCTTGAGCACGGATGTGGCTGCTACGGGGTTCCCCGTAATACTATAATGACAAT